GCATGACAGGAGCATGGCTCTGGCCCAGCTCTGATGAGCTCATTCCCATTTTACAGGTAGGCTTCAAGGGGCAGACGATGTATCCAGTCAATATACGTTTACCATAAACATGCTCTATGTCAGGAACTGGGGATACCCAGTCTCTGCCTTCATGAAGCCCACTCTATGTTGGGGAGAGAGTCAAGTAGCAGGTCATTGAAAATAAAGGACAAAGGAAGTACAGGAAGACTAAGCTGAACTGGGGCACCAGGGGAGGCTTCCTGGAAGAAGAGCCTCAAAGGTCCTAGCAGGTGCACGAGGAGTGTTCTAGGCATGGAGAACAGCTTTGCAAAGGCCTGCAGTGGAGCTGCAGCCCCAGCGTGCATCAGGAATAGAGAGATTTGCTTGGGCTGAGGTGCAAAATGAAGGCAGTGGCATGAGATGAAAATGGGGAAGGTGTCAGTGAGAGCGTAGAAGGCCTTGAAGGCTGTATGGGGAAACTGCAATGTAACTCTGGAGGTAAAGGACAGTGCTCCAGCAGCTATTGTAGCAACAATGCTGTGTAACAAACCTCCCCAAACTCAGTGGCTTCAAACATCCTATTTACTGGTGTCAGCTGGGAGTCAGCTGATTGAAGCTGGGACCAGCTGGGCTTGGCTCCAGGCCACGGATTGGGTCAAGTCAATTCCACAGTGTCTCTCCAATTCCTGGAACACTGAGTTCTCTGGGCTTCCCATGGGGAGGGCAGAAGCTCAGAGGGCCAAGCATAGTTCAAGCCTTTGCGTCCTTCACTCTTGCCAGCATCCCAATGGACAGTGAAAGCCACACAGCAGGCCCAACATCAATAGGACAAGAAAGTGTATTCCGCCCACAGCTGGAGAGAGCCTAGCCGGGAGAGAAGCTTCTCTTCATTGAAGTGCTTTGCAACCACAAGCACACCAGTGCCTTCTGAGTTGGGAGAAGCAGTTTCATGACATGATGGTGACAGGAATGACGGTGTAGCAGGTATTACTGCGGTCCAGCCCCTGACATATCTTCTCTTTTAAAACACAATGACCATGCATGATGGGTACTATTATTCTATTTAATGGATGAGCAAACAGGCTGAGATAAGAGGATGTGACTTGCCCAAATCCACAGTGGGTGGAGGCAGGAGGAAGAGGAGGAGGAGGAGGATTTCTGACTGCATGGCAGGATGGCCACATTGCCCTACTGCTGCCTCCTTCTGTTACCCTGCGCTGGCCCTTTCCAAGTGTCCCCCTCAGCCTGCTCAACCCTGAGCAGGATGAGGGAGTAGCACCAGGCAATACTACCCTCCTGATCACCCCAAAGGACTGAGACCTTATCTGCAGAGCAGAGCTAGAGAAAGCCATGTCCCTGTCGGAGAAGGCAGACAGGGCACCTGGTGCTGGCCCCAGCAGCTCCAGGGCCTCGGAGCTTCACCCCCTGCCCCCGACCCCATGCAGAGCACTCCAGCTGACTCTTGCTGGTGCCTTCTCTGAGGGAGGGGTGCACCTCTCTCTCCTTCCTCTTTTCTCCCTGCCATCCTCTACCCTCTGTCCCGAAGCCAGAGAGTGCTTTCTAAGGAGCAAATGACAGCCACCTCCCTCCCGTTCTCACAAAACACCATCTAGATAATACATTCCTGCCGTCAAAAACTCCAAGACTGTGGAAGATTTGTAACAGAAGTCTTCCTCCCGTGGCTCTCTGCCATCCGCCTGGTGCCCTCGTCCCATCGCACACACAGGTAACGCACTGTCTCGGTTTTTCTCACGTCTTCTCCAGGATGTCTTCGTGCATATGAAGGCAAACGTGAGCATAGAGCCTCTCTTCCACCCATTGTGCACGTTTGACACGGGTTTGTAGCCTTTCTCCCTATTTAAACGCCTTGGCATTGTTTCCCTATCGATGCGTTGAGAACTTCCTTGTTCTCTCTTCACGGCTGCAGAATGACCTAATTTATTTCATCAGTCCCGTGCCGATGGATGTTTGGGGTGCCATGTTCTTCGCTATACCAGACAAGTCTCCAGTGAATAACTTCCACACTTGGCCAGTGTACGTTTACTGCAGGATAAATTCTGAGAAGCAGGATCGCTGAATCGGAAGGACTACGCGATCGCAGTTTTGATAGTTACTGCCAAATTACCCTCCATGACGGTGGAGCTGGTTTGCACTCCCTCCAGCAACACATGAGAGCCTGTCTCCCCCTTAGCCTTGCCACCAGTGTATCAAACTCTTAGTTCTTTACCAACTGGATAGGCATAAAATGGCCCTCCGCTTTTAAAAACCTTTCACTGTCTCCCCAGTCCCCTCAGGATAAAGTCTAGCTTCCTTGGGCAGACGTGGGGGTGGGCATAGCCCCATCCTTTCCCAAGCCGCATTGTCAGCTATGGGGGTAGACTTGGACACAGTTCATGTGCTAGGTTTTCGTTTCCTTAGCAGTGGGACAGCCCTCATTCTCTCGAGGAGTGCTGGGAAGAGCCCTGAGAATGCACAGGTAGGGCCTGAACACAGCAGGCACTCTGTAACAGAGGGCTCTCATGGTTATCTCCTGGTCTCCAAAAGAAGACGAGAGAAAAGTGGGGGCTCACGGGACCTGGCAGGTGATGGGGGTCCTTTTCTACTTACCCCTCCTGCCCCCTCCTATATGAAACACTCTGCCACCTTGGCACGCTGAATGCCTGCACAGCCTCTCCGACCCCAGGCTAACTGCTTTGCCCGAACTAACGAAGAGCATCTCATTAGAGCTCTGCAAAGCTCATTAAGACCACAAGCTGTGCAGCAGCAGTAAAGGAAGGTCAAGGTTCTTTTCATGGGAGTCGGTGCCTCTGGGACCCCGTGGCACCAATATTCACAAACAAGATGAAGAGGACTCTGTCTGCAGGAAAGTAGGCAGCCAGTTGTGAGGCCAAGGCTCTCCGGGGCTCCCAGTCACCCACATCCTTCCCCCAGCCGTGTCCCGGTCCCGGCCTGGGAAGGAGAGCATTGCTGGCCAGCCAAGAGCTGGAAGGATAATGACAGGTCTGTTTTGATGAGGCGACTCTGATCTGAATTGAGAATGCCATCTACAGTGGGGAGCCTGGATAAGCAGGAGAGGAGCAGAACTCTGCTTCGGAGGGGCTCCTGGACATTGTACCTGGTGACTTTCCCCTCTCGGGGCCCCTGTGTGCCCATCTGTAAAGTGGAACCCAGCTTCCAGGAGAGTCATGAGGGTCTACCTTGGGGAGGTGACAGTGACATGGGAGTCTGGCTTCCTGTGCTGTTTGAAAAGATAGAGATCAAGGAGAAATTTCCTTAAAAGCGAGGAAACGGGCTAAATAATGGTTTCTTTAAAAATGGGGGATATTTGGACTGCACGCCAATGATGTGCAAAATTCTTCACCTCCATATTATAGCTAGGCTCTGGGAAGGTCTCAGGACAAAACTTGGACATACTAATAAGTCCTCTTCTACACACCTTTTGGGGTGTCCTGTCGCCTTCCAGGTCCCACCTCCTACCCGTTCCTACCCAGCTCCTTCCCATAAGCTTGCTCCGACCCCCACCCACCACCACCCATGGCCAGTTACAAGTGGACCAGTCTGGCAGGCATGGCCGCTGCACCAGGGCTGCCAAAGGCCCTGCGTCAGCCTGGCCCGAGCCTGGCTGTGTGTTTAGGGGTGTGGCTCTTGCCCTCAGTCACAGTGTTTGTGGCTGGGCCTTTGAGAGCTCAGTTTTCACAGAGGGAAAACGGTAAAGTATGAAGCACTGTACAAACACGAGGGCTTCCCTTCCAGATCTTCTACGAATAGGCCTCTCAGTGTGATGATGAACCTCGTAGCTGCCATCAGCTTTTGTTGCAACTGCGCTGAGAGGTTGTGGACCTTCACGTTTGAGCGCACACCCTGGGAACAGGCGGGCTGGCTCCAGCACTCACTGTATTTTCTAGGCAAGATGATCTCAGAGCCTTGGTTCCCCCATGTGCAAAACAGGCACAACAGGTAGGGTACCCTGAGCTCCTCAAGGTTAACAAATGAGCTGATACGTGTTAAACCCTGTGATGGGATGAACCGTGTCCCCACAAGGACAGGTTGAAGTCCTAAGCCCTGCTGCCTGCGAGCATGAGCTTACGTGGAAATAGCCTTACGTGTAGATGAGACTACATGAGGTCACTATGGAGGGTCCTACTTCAATATGGCTAGTGCCCCTCTTATTAAGAGGGAGATGTGAACAGAGACAGAAAAGATGGCCACGTGCGGACGGGCTAGAGTGCAGGGTGCCTCTACAAGCCAAGGAATGCCAAGGTTGGCCGGCAGCCAACAGGAGCTGGAGAGAAGCATGGAACACTCTCCCCTCAGGGCCTCCAGGAGGAAGCAACCCTGCTCACCCCTGGACTTCCACCCTCCAGAACGTGCGAGTGACTGTGTTATATAAGCCACCCAGATGCTGGTTTTCACTATGGCTGCCATAAGAAACAAACCAACCCTGAGAGAAGTGTCTGGCACAGCGAGTATAGCCAGTATCCTTCTTCGCCACAGATGGGGAGCCCAAAGTCTGGGCACCTGCTCCATGCTGGTGAGTACAAGGCAGGGTCACATCCCCCTATCTTGCATCCTTAACCGCCCAGTTCATGTTTAGATGGCTGGCCCGCAGCTCACCTGGGATGATCCTTGACGATTTTCTTCCCCTGCTCAGGGCTCAGTCCTGGCTCAATCTGTGTCCAGCTCCCTAAAGCCCAGTGCCCAGCACAAAGCCAGGCATACCCAAGGTGCTCAAATATGTCCCAACAATAGAGAAGAATTTGTAAAGAAAGAAGCATCTCTAGGTGCCCCCTATCCTCAGCAGAGGCCCTGGCCTCACGCAGGACCTGCAGACCTTGCTCCCCAGCGGGCAGGACACCCTCCATCCCACCTCCACCTCTGACCAGGCCCAGCTTCACCCTTGTGCCAGGTTCTGGCTGGGCATCATGTGGACACTTCGTTATTTCAATTTTAAGAATATGATGGAGCCAACGATGCTTAAAATGCTTGTGTTAATAGCGGCGGTCTGCAGTTTCATTTCTCTTTAATAGGAACCATCTGCCATGAGCAGGCGGCAGGCACAGCCAGCTCCTCCCCACAGGGAGCACCCCCCAAAATCCGCCCTCCGAGTTGTATGGGGGAAGTGGGGGCTTGAATCTGATCCGTGAAGGCTGCAATGGCCCCTGGAGGGTCTTAGAGGAGCCCCTGGAGGCTGAGGCCAGGGGTAGGACATGCAGAGCCCCAGGCCGGGTCCCTCTGTCCTCTTTTGTCGGCACCGAAAGACCTGGGGAGGACCCCGGGCTATCCTGCTTGGTCACCGTAAAGCTGATAGGGAGGGTAGAGGGGGCAGAGGTGTGAGGCCCCTGCCCTGAACCCACTGTGCTCTTCCTGCAAAGTCCCCAAGGGAGGCCCGGGGTTCTAGGGACAGCTCAGGCTTTGCCGCTGATCCAGCTCCAGGGCAGTCATTCTGCTTCTTGGTGCCTCAGCTTTCATATGGGGGCCCCATAATACCCACATTAAAAAGATGTGAGCACTGAGGCAGTGTGAGAGGGGACCTCCTACAAAAATAACCCGACCCCCTGAAAACCAGGCACGTGAGAAGGGCTGGTCAGGCACGGCGCCCATGCAGCTGCCCGCAGCCCAGTGGGGGGTGGTGGCCGGCTTCCCACCCAGCTCTGGGTGAGAGCTATGATGAAGGCAGTGCAGTCCACACAGCATGGAGGGACTCAGCTCCCATGCCAGGCTGCAGGGTGCCTTTGGCCCAGGCCTGGAAACCTAGCTAGTTGGAGATGAGCGGGGAAACAAAGTGCCTCTTGGGGTCAGAGAGAGAGCAACTCATTCCCCTCAACCCCTCGCCCCCGGCTGGACCAAAGTCGTGCATGATCAGGCCCCGGGATGGGGCTATAGGGAGGCCCCACTGGGCAGGGGGATCTTGTAGCCGCTCTGGAGGAGCAGGAGGCAGGTGCCCAGCCCTAGGGCCCCGGCCAGGAGCACAGCACCCAGGGCTTTGAGGAAAGAAGTCCTGGTCCTCGTGAAGGAGCCGGGGGCCATGATGCCAAGCAGGGCCGTGCTGACCGTGAGCGTGTAGAGGATGGAGACTCCTGTGTTCAGCGCGACGATCTTGCCGAATTTTGCAAATGGGGCGATGATGCAGAAGAAGAGGGGCACCGTGGCAATGACGGTGGTGAGGGCACTGGAGACGATGGCCACGCCCACATGCCGCACAGCCTCCAGCGTCCGCCACTGGCGCTGCGAGTGGGCGTCCTGGGGATGTGAGACAGAGCTACGGCTGCCACCTGACCAGTCCGGGTAAACGTGACCTCCCTGCCCTGAGGCTGCCCTGCTCCTGGAGGCCCTGCTTCCTGTCCCGAGATGGGGTAACGGCAGCAGCTTCCCAGGCCGAGACGACTCCCACAGGCCGGGGGCCCGTGCACAAAGCACGCGGGGGGAAAGGT